GAGTCTCCTGCCTCAGCCTCCCAAGTAGCTGGGACTACAGGCGCCCGCCACAACGCCTGGCCATTTTTTGGTTGCAGGCATCATTGTTGTTTGGCAGGCTGGGGCTGGGGATTCGAACCCACCACCTTAAGTGTATGTGGTTGGCGCCTTAGCCGCTTGAGCCACAGGCGCTGAGCCTCTAGTCCTAATTCTTATTAGACGTTTGTTAGTATTCTGCTGTCACCCACTAGTGTTAGCATTTAAATATTTGGATTATTTTTGCTTGCTTGGATTATTTCTTATATTGATGACTGTCAAATAGGGAGTTTTCTAATTTTTATTCCTTCAGTCTTTACTAGTTAATATTCTAAGCTATGGACCAGTTCTCTGTTTTATGTGTTCATTTATTTATATCAGTTTGGAGTAAGATATAAGTGAGTATATGCAGAGACTTATACACACATAACAAAATATGCATAATCCATTATGCAGTTTGTTATGATCATTATTTATTTTATGGGCATATTGCCCTAGATTTTGTTAGTTGGAGCACCCTTCAAGTTAGTTTCGGTGTGTCTTATTGATATTTTTCCCTCATTGAGAACATTCTTCCTTCCTCACATAAAATGTTCTGTGGTGGTTTTCCAAGTACCTGCCTCAACCCTGGTTCTTTTCAGTAGGGCATGGTAGTGAAAAACAAGATCTGGCTTTAGTCAGCTATGCTTATTGCTACTGATTTCAGGCTCTCTTAGAGCAGACTAGAAAACATATGCATGAATGCATACAAATACACCCCATTACATCTGTTTTTATTTTTGTACCTATCTATATCTATTGAAACTGTAAGTCCATGGTGATACATCAAATAGTCCACAATAACAGGACTCATTCTAGCTTTTCCCCATTTTATTTTTGGAATTCCTTTCCCCATTAGCAAGAAACATGGTTCCCATTATCTTCATTATGTTCATGTATTTGTTAACCCTTGTATGCAAGCAATCTCTGGACCCTCCTCTGCTGCCTTCCTTGATTTTGTTTTGATGAGTTACCCTCTCACACTTTCTCCGGTCTATTCTTTGATCCCATTTGGACAAATAGGACAAAACAGTATAAACATGATGGAAGTCATGAATAGGTGCTAGAATAACAACAGAAAATTTGTTTCAGTTGGAATCAAAACACTTTTGACCTGAGACATTTTAATCTGTTTTTAATCCAGTGATGTCAGTCAGAATGGAAGTATCTATCATCATTTCATAATCTTAATAATATCATTGCTGAGGAACAATGTTACTTCTTGGTTAGGATTCTTAATTTGGATCCTTTCAAATATACTTGACTAAATAGATTTTTCTTTTAGATTGTAAGTATAGTTAGACTTGGACAAAGATCCAACTCAATTTACTTGTAGAGCCCAGAGTTATTTGTATATATGGGAATTCCCAGGGCAGATCCTTTACCCATGGTCTTTGACCGCATGGAACTTTCTTTTTATATATCTAACCATATGAAAGTGTTGGTCTTCCAAGATTTTATTTTTTATCTTTAAAAATTTGAAATGTGAGAAATGAGTTTTAAAATGCTTATTGTCTGTATTAATTTGTATTATAAAGAATTAGGTTATACCATGTTTACTTTTTTTTGAATCTGAAAATTTTTATACATGCTAGTATGTCATATTCTTTTAAAATTTTTCTTGGAACATTTGAAAAAAAAATAGCCACGTATTTCCTCTTTGTGTTGGAAGTTAGCTCCAATGTGTGTGTCATACTTGTTAATTGTATTATTGTAATCTACATACTTCTTTTTTTGTTTTCTTGTTCTGTGCTGTTCTGAGGGCAGAGTTTTAATCTTACAAAATGATTGTAGTTTTGCCATTTTTTTTGTCTCTCTAACAGCTTTTGCTTTTTATATTTGGATGTTATATTGATTGATGCTGAAATACCAATAACCACTTTACCTTCTTGGAACTTAGTTCCCTACATTAATGAAAATACTAGTCCTTTTATCCTGAGCCATTTTGCTATGAATTTTAGTTTACTTGTTATTATTACCATTCCTGTGCTTATTTTGCTTATATTTGCCGGGTGAATATTTAATTATCTGTTTATTTAAAATGGTTTTGGATTGTGTTTTACTTCTGTCTCCTATATGTGTGAACATTTGTTCCTTTTTTGGAGAGTATTTATCTTTTAGAGAAATTGAATGTTTAAAAATAAAGTATTATACTTTGTTGTATAAATTTTTATTTGCACATCATTTTTGCTCATTTGTTTCATAGATTCTCAATGATTTTTGTAATAATAAATAATCAATTGTCTTATTATACCTTATTTTCAGTATGCAGATGTTTAGCATTTTTATGAGGTTCTATTATTGACTTTTGTCCTTTCTGAGGTTTCTTTTTTTTTTTTTTTGCAGTTTTTGGCCAGGGCTTGGTTTGAACCTGCCACCTCTCGCATATGGGGCCAGAGCCCTACCCCTTTGAGCCACAGGCCCTGCCCTGATCTATGTTCTTTAAGTGGAGCATTTAATGTGTTTACATTGAAGGTTAATATTGATATGTGAGGCTTTGCTCTTGTCATGGTGTTACCTGATTTCTAGTTGCTTTATAATTTCTTCATTTCTTTTTCTTAGTATTTTTGTCTTTCTGGTTTGCTTATCTTCTGTTATGTTGTCATTTAATTCTTTTCTCTCCCTCTTCCTCCTTGTTTATAAGACCTGAAAGCTTTAAACTTTTGTTTGTTTTCATGATGGTGTATATTGAACTTTTATTTCCACATTTAAGATTCCTTTCAGCATTTCCTATGGAGTCAATCTAGCCATAAAAAATTTTCTCAGTGTTTGCTTGTCAAGTAAAGACTTTATTTCTCCATCATTTATGAGGATTTTACCAGCAAGATAAAATTCTTGAATAGCTAGGCTTTTGCCATCTGCATTTTGAGACTACATCCTATTCTCTTCTGGCCTGTATGGTTTTTGCTGAGAGATCTGCAGTAGTCTGATGGGGTTTTCTTTTCTGGGTGACTAGCTGCTGCTCTCTTGCTAATTAAAAAATTCTCTCTCAGTTTGACTTGATTTTATCTGATTAAAATATGTTGCCATGAGGTCTTTTTTGCAATGTATTTGCCTGGGGATTGTTCAGCCTCTTATACTTGAATGTCTAACTCTCCTGCTAGTCTTGAGAAGTTTTCATTGATTATTTCCTTAAATAGGTTTTCTAAACTTGTTGATTTCTCTTCTCCCTCAGGAATACTGAAAATT